AAGCAAAGGCCCAGAAAAGTGACCTGTGGGAACACCAAATCCTGCTACTCTTTACACTCTATGTACATACATAGTGGCCACACACGGAAAGGCTGTGGGAAACTCTGCAACAATGGTACTGTTTTCCTGGCATTGTGATTGGATAGCTTTTCTAGGAATAACAAACTATCTCCCATCATATCTACTTCAAGAATGGAACTTGGAGAGCTTTAAAACTAGGGTAATGGCTGAGTGGTTAAGGTTCTAATGTGCAAGGAATAATACCAGAGTTCACACTGCCAGCACCCACCTAAATACTGGGTGGATGTGGAGATCCACCTGTAATTTCAGCCTCTTAAGCTGGAGACAGAATTCCCCAGAAGATGATAGATAGAAAGACTAGTTTTATGGGTGAGCCCTGAGTTTAACTAAGAGACCCTGCCTCAAAGAATAAAGCAAAGAAAGATTGAGGAAGATGTCCAAATCAACTTTGGGCCTCCACATACTCATGCATGTGTATGCACACATGTACACACATGTGAAAATCAGAAAAATAGTTTAAAAATAGCTAGGGCTGTAGCTTAGATATCAGAGTACTTGCCTAGCATGCAGAAAGGTCTAGATTCCTGCTCTAGTATCACATAAACTGGATTATGCCTATAAACCAGCATTTGGAAGGTAGGAGCAAGATGAAAACTCCAAGGTCATCCATCCTCAGCTACACATCTGAGTTTAGGACTAGCCGGGGGTACATGAGACTGTCTTGGAGAGGGGGTGGGGGGGGTATTGCAAATGAGTGATGCCTTCCTGGCTTCCTAGCTCACAGAGATATGTCCTGTACACTCTGAGCTTACTAACTGGACAGCATCTCACAGAAACAGTCCTCAGATACCCTCAGGGTGTCAGAGAAGTCTTTAAAACAGTCTTCTGATAGCCAGGTGGGAGTGACACATGCCTTTAATCCCAGCACTCAGGAGGCAGATGCAAGTAGATCTCTGTAAATTCAAAGCCAGCCTGGCCTACAGAGAAAGTTCCAGGACAGTCAGGGCTATACAGAGAAACCCTGTCTTAAAAAAACAAAACAAAACAAAACAACAACAAAACATACACTTCTGATATTGGGCTGGAAAATGGCTCAGCAGGTAACGGTGCTTGATATGAAAGCCTCACAAGTCGAATCCAATTCCTGAAACCCACTAGAAAACGGAAGGAAAGATCCAACTCCACAAAATTATCCTTGTATTCTACGTATACTCACTGACACATGCCCACACCACATATGGCATATGTGCATATACAAATACTTCCAAATAATAGATTTAAAATTTTTTAATCTTCTGATTATTCATTTCTAACAACAAGGATTATAAATGTACCCTGTGTGAGTTTACTTATAATCACCTACATGTGCTATAGTACTAAAATATTAACTTCAGAATAAAACACTATCCCCATGACCTCAGAACCACCTTACCACACATATATAAGCTGCTCTAGAACTCATTCCTGCTGGTTCCCTGTTCAAGAATGTCACCTTCATGACCAAGAAATACGACAACACAAGAGCATGAATCAGCTGGAAGGGCTCTCTCGGGCCGAGTTCAAACTCAATGGTGCGTGTCCAACTAGTCCTCAGAGGACTAATGAGATGAGCTCCTCTTAAAAGTCTTCTGGGAAGCAGAGAAGTCAATGTGTCCAATGCTATATATTCTCCTCTTCCTTGGCAACACTGCCCCTGCCCTCATCACTCCGTGCCATGTCAAATTACAGTATAATTACATTTTTAACACGTCGGCTCGAAGCCCTTCCAGACACCCCATGAGAAATGGGTAAGGAGGCTCTTTTTTTTTTTTCAATCTCTGCCTCTTCTTGGCACGGCATTAACTAAGACAGGACCAACTGTAAGAGCATACTAAGCAAACTAAATACACTACAATAAAACATTGGAACCTAAATCTAATAACTAAGCAGGCATTTTTCCCAGCAGTTCCTAATTACTAATCCTCTCCAGGGACTAACAGGAGGAGTCCAGCAGGACCACTCTGAAGCCCATACTTTAATGTTTATTTGGCAACGAGGGCAGGAAGCCAGGCCTTGAATACAAGTGCCACAGGCAAGAAAAGGAAAAAGAGGCTGGTGAGGAGGGGCAGTGGAGCAAGAGGGGGAAACAGAAACTATGAATGAATATGAACATGAATGGGAGAGAATGAATTAAACCACATAACCCTGGCCCAGAAAAAGCTCAAAGATGAAAATCTGCAGAATGGTTTCTATTGAGAGTGACTATCGCTTTCGCATCCTTATGTAGTGATGAGATCCTTAGGTAAAACCATCCCAGTCAGGACCTGCTGTAACTGCAGCAGCAACTGTCTGGCTCACAGAGTCTAAAGTAATTATTACCCGGCATAGATGAGATGGTCCATAATGAAAAGAGACCTTTTATTTTATCTTATTTCTTTGACACAGGGGCTCACTATATAGCCTTGGCTGGCCTAGAACTCTCTACGTAGACTGGGATGGCCTTGGAGATCTGCCTCTGCTTTCCAAATTCTACGATTAAAAGCGTGTGCCGTGGCATGTGGCCAAAAAAGAGTACTTTTTAATTCTTTAACTGAGCAAAAGAGAATAGGTGATCTTCATCTATCCCACTAACTCAGTGCTTACAAACAGAAAATTCTCCACCGCTGAAATGGGTAAATCCACTTACAGGGAAAAGTCTGGTGGTCCTAACAATAGTTCTTGGTATCAGCTACTTTGCTATATATTGTAGGCATCTGCATCACATGGCTCTCTTAGTTTCCCTCTGAGGCCTAGTGGAGCAACTAATTCAGTGGATGAGCAGCAAAGCTCGGCACCAAGCTGTATAACCTACTACAATCATTGAGGATGCAACACAGAAATGAAACACAAAAAAGTGTCATGCATTAAAGTGCCCTACAGTATCTCCCCTTCTGCAGGCCATATGCCTTCTAATTATGGTCCATTCATTCCTGGGGTCCTGGAGACTTATCCACAGGTTCAAACGATTTCATAATAATGCTAAAAACAACTCCTTTCTTCCATGTTGCCATTTGCATGTGTTGCAAAAGCAACAGCTGAAAGACAAAGCAGGACCCTGCCATTCTCTGCAGACACTCAACCCCACGGTCACACTCACCACCAGGCTCTGCAGCCACTAACCCCCATCGCCACACTGACTGTTTGGTCTTAAATGCCACTTTTGCTTAGGAATGCTCTTAATGAAGAAATAGAAGCTGCTCTTAGGATAGCTAGTCACCTGCATAAATCCCTTTCAATATTCAGTGTTATAAAGAGGGAAGTATATACAAAATTCTTCTCTAGTATCCCAAAGAGATAATTGTCTTAGTACAAAGTATGAGCTACTGAAAGCTGTTAGCAAAAGTAGTTCCCTTTCACTGAACATCCAAAAAAAAAAAAAAAAAAAAACCCTTTTACTCAGATTGAGGAGGAGCTAATAATTTCTAAATTTAAAAGATGATGCAGTCACTTCACTGCACTCACATGCCACATCTTAATGTATGTGGTGTTCGGACATCTCTGGTGTTGGTTCTTGACTTTTCGTCTTGGTTAAGCCAGGGGAGGAGCTAATAATTTCTAAATTTAAAAGATGATGCAGTCACTTCACTGCACTCACATGCCACATCTTAATGTATGTGGTGTTCGGACATCTCTGGTGTTGGTTCTTGACTTTTCGTCTTGGTTAAGCCAGGGTTTTAATTGCCAATTTGCCCCACTCTACACTCACTCAGGAAGAGAAACTCTATGAGGGATGCCTAAGTCAGACTGGCCTGTGAGAGATTTTCTGAATTCGGTTAATTGAGCTGTGAAGAGCCACTCTGAATGAGGGTGGCACTGATTCACGGTTTTGGCCCTGCCCTGTGTGATAGCACAGAAAGCTTGCTGAGCATGAACCAGGGATGCAGCTATCTCATTCTGCTCATCTGTGGCTGTGATGTAACTGGATGTTTTCAGTTCCTGCCAAAGATGGACTGCAACCTGGAATTGTGAACTAATACAACCCCCTTCTCCCCAAAACTGCTTTTTTGGTCTGGATATTTTATCAAAGCAACAAAAATAAAATCAGGACACAGGGTCTCCTGTTTGCCACCGAGTGTACCAGGTTACCTGGCCCAAACCACAAGGACTCTCCTGTCTCTGCCTTTCTCCATCTCCCATTAGGGTCTCCACGGCATCTGGCTTTTTATGTGGGTTCTGGTATTTGAACTCGGGTCTTTCTGCTTGCATAGCCAGCACTCTATCCACTCAGCTATCTCTCGACAATGCTATTTTTCCTATTCAGGGCAGGGGTGAAAAACGGTGGAAAAGTCTTTCAAATTACTTACAACATGCTTTTATTATCAATATTGCCAGGCAGATATTGACAAAACTGGTTTTCCCCAGCATGTGCATACATATAAAGGAGTAAGTCCCCAGGAATAAGGAAGTTGTAACAAAAAGTCATTAGAAATGAAGAATAAATTTCACCACAGAAATACTATTATAAAGTAGTGACTTGGAACAACAGTATTATATTTTTTATAGCGTTGGTCCACGGACTTTTAAGATTTATTTTCAATTATGTGCATGCGTATGCATGTATATGCAGGTTCCCTCTCAGGCCAGAGGCATCAGACCCTGCTGGAGCTGGAGATACAAGCAGCTATGAGCTGCCCCAAATGGCTGCTACGAACTGAATCTAGGTCCTTTCCAGGAGTTGCATGTACTCTAACTGGCGCCCCATCTCTCCAGCCCCCAAATGGGCTTTTGTAAGCTACATCCACAGTAAATGTCAGGGCATTTTCCAAACATGGACTTTAGTCTTGGGTACACAGAAGCACCTCCACAGACCATCTGCGGTGATAAGCAAGGCTTCTTACACTTTGTTAGCTCCCTGTATAACAGGGTTCTCTGAACGTTACCTTTGTCCCTAAGTAACAACAAAGAGTGGCAGTCCTGAGAACAGGGAAGGGATAAAGGAAAGGCAGAAAGATGGGGCTTACCTGTGCTCAAGATGACTGAAGTCTTGTAAATTCAATTCCCTGGTGTCTTGCGTCAGATAAATTGTATCCACATCCTGTTTAAAGCAAAACTCGGTTAGAAAATAAATCCATGTGCAGAAACAGAGAAACCAGACAACCTCAGAGAACTGCATAAGGACGCAGGCAGCTTTTGGAGTAACCTGAAAGATGGTAGTCAAAATAAAATGAGTGGTGGGAGAGAGGGAGGAGGGGGAACCGATGTGGATATACTGTGTGCCAGGTATGTGTGCACGCAGATGAAGAGGCTCACTTACCCACTGTACTTCTTCCCTGTATGAAAACCCCAGCCAGTCGCACACACAGGCATACATCTGTGAAAACCCACCTGAAGCATGAAGCAGAAATGTTGATATTGACAGGTTTGCAGGAAAACAATTTTTACATCACAGTTTACAGCTTCAATCTGGCAGCTGCTGGCAATCGAGTTATCTTTCCCATCTAGAGAAGCAGCAAGGATTCTCCCCAGCTCTGCGGTGCATACACAGCAGGCTGCAGTCGGGCTTAAATATAGGACTTCTGTCCACCAATCTAAAGTCTGTGCATGCTAATTACACCTTGAACTAATTGTACTCTACAGTAGCAGACCAGGAATAGACTCAGCTTCCTGGCAGGGGGACGGGCATCCAACCCCTTATGTTTTAGTTTAAAATGCATGCTCACCACAGGGTCCTGGCTCAGCCAAGGTCTGGCTGTCCCACAGGGCCTGGAGACTGGCCAGGCGCTCAGGTGGCTCCATGGAGACTTTCTTCATGATTCTCCTGAAAGGTTAACCCCAACAACACATTTCAAAGCTCGTGGTTTTGGAACAGTATATAGACATTTATTTTGTACTATGTGTTTTGCTTGTTTGCTTTAAACAAAGATGGGTGTTACTTCAAATCTGGTCAAAATAATTCCATTAGATGGGCAGTAGGGAAATGACAATTTATAGGAACGTATTAATATTTTGATTTGCTTCCTCTTACAAATACAGACATTAAGAGTTATTTTCCCTGTTGTTTTCTAACGGGAAATTTTTGTTACAACACTTAGAAAATAGTGCTCTAGGGGATAGGGGTAATGGGTGTGGCTCAGTTGGTAGAGTGTTTGTCTAGCATGCAAAAAGCTCTGGGTTCCATACCCAGTGCCACATAAGCCACAAGGAATTGTACACCTATAATACCAAACTTGAAAAGCGGAGTGAGGAGGATGTCAAAGTTATCTGTAGCTACATACTGAATTTGAGGACAGCATGGATCACATGAGACATTGTCTCAAAAAGTAAGAAATGCTATATTTAATGAATTATTATATTGTACTTCTATCAAATACAGGTGACCAGCTTCTTAGAATTAAAGAACAATTCTCTAAGTCAATCCATAGTACCCTATGCAAATGTTCATCAATAGACTGGTCATCTCTGTTTTAGTAGGAGGTCCTTTGGCTCTGTGCTAAGGGACTGTGGGTCATTTGAGGCCATGCCTGGATCCTACTCCTCTTATCTCTCTTCCTCCTCAAAAGCTAATAAAGTTCCTGCCTGTTCACATAGTGGATAAAAATGAATCCCAGGGCTGTTGAGATGGCTCAGCAGCTAAGAGTTCAAATTGCTCTTGCAGAGGGCTGGAGTTCCCAGCACCCATATTGGGCATTTCACAACCACCTATAACTCCAGCCAGAATATTCGCCACTTTCTTCTGGTCTCTGCAGGCACTGCACACACATGCAGACACACAAACACATAATTAACAAAAACAAAAATGTAGCCTGCCTCCCCAAACTATCATTATTCATGACACAGAAGTGATGAAACAAGGAAATTCATATCTCGGGGCTGCTGTGAGAACAGAAATGAACACATTACTTAGAACAACAACTGGAACATGGTAGAATGTCTAAAATGGGAGCTGATGTTGTGAACATGACCACATCATCATTTAGTAAGCAACTTATGAATCCATCCAAACACTGACTAAAGACCTATGCTGTGTTAGGGCCTACTTCCAAAGAAGGTTGTCAACAAAATCCACAGAAAATGTACACACACACACACACACACACACACACACACACACACACACACACACACACTCTATTTTTGTTTTGTATGCTGTAGTGAGGTTGTTTTATTTTGGGAGAGAAGCTCTCTATGTGAACCTGACTGTCCTGGAACTTAGAACATTGACCAAACTGGCACTGGACTTAGAGATCTGCCTACTTCTATCCCCTGCCTTAGTTAGGATTACTATTGTTGTGCTAAAATACCATGACCAAAGCAACAGGGAGAGGAAAAGGGTTTATGTGGCTTACACTTCCACATTGTAGTCCATCACGAAAGGAAGTAAGGACAGGAAGGCAAACCACACAGGAACCACGAGGTAGAAGCTGATGCAGAGGCCAAGAATTAAGAAAATGCCCTACAGGCTTGCCTGCAGCCTGGTTTAAGGGAAGCCTTTTCTCCATTGAGATTCCTTCCTCTCTGAAGACTCTAGCTTCAGTCAAATTGACATAAAACTAGCCAGCACACCTTCTGAGTGCTACTATTAAAGGCACACGTGACAATGCTAAGCCGCTTGTGATTCAAATGAGACAGCCAGTGTGATTTAAATGAGAAATATTCACCAGGGTTAATCCATTTAAATACATAGTTCCCAGCTAGCAGCACTTTTGGCTGGAGAAGTACCTAGGGGTAGGTTTAGAGACTCGAGGAACTTGCTCCACTCCCAGTTTTCTCTCTCTGCATGTGGTTAGTGATTTGATCTCTCAGCTTCCTGTTCCTATTACCTGCTGCCACAACTCTCTGCCATTGGGATCTCCCACTCAGGGACCATAAGTGAGAATAAACTCTTCCTTCTATAAAATGATTGGAGTCGTGGTATTTGATCACAGCAACAGAAAAGTTACTAATACATTCTCCAAGCTAGAAATCTATCAAGAGGAACAGACAAGCTGGTGAGGGTGGTGCACACCTGCATCCAGCACTTAGGAGAGAAAGGCAAGTGTTGTGCCCAAATTCTGAACCCCCAAATCACCAAGAGACCCATTCCCGATGCAAAAGCAAAGAGTCTTTATTAATTAAATGAGTTAACTGCATTAACTCGGGCCCTCTGTGGGTTCCACATGGTGGCTGGAGTGAGAAGGACCAGGGGAAACCTCGAGGCAGGGAATTTATTGGATAGAGCAAGGGGAGTGTCTAAGGGACCACAAGAGTCCCAGACTTGGTGCACTCTCGGGCTTGGGCAGTCTGTCCTGTGTTGATTGGTCAACTGGTTTCTATGGCCTACAGGCCCTTCCAGTGTGGCTGCTATGCTCTGTATGCCACTGTTACACTGTTACCATAAAGCATGTCCAGAGCTTGCCAGCTAACTTCTGATTGGTTCCTTGTCACAGTGACTGGGGCAGGGCTGGGAATTTCAGAAGACCAGAAACTCAGCAACATGTGCTAAGTCAAAGGCCTACATCTTGTTGGATCTTTTCTGCAGCCTTTCACGGCTACTAAGGCAGGGGGCTGGGTGAGGGTCTGGTCCCTTCAGCAAGAGGATTGATGAAAGTGGGAGTAGAACTGTCATGGCCCAGCATGTCTCAGCCCTAAACCACAGAAACCACGAGTGGGGGAGCGTGGACTTGGGAATTCCTCATATTTCCCAGGTACTTGAATGGAAGCTTTGAGCCACCAAGGCCAGAGATGAAGAAAGGTTTATGCAGTGTTTTTATATAATTTTGTGCACAGGTTTATGGTAGTTGGAGCTGAAGAGATGGTTCACTGGATAAGACTGTGCACAAAACACAAGGACCTCAGTTCAAAACCCCAGCACCCAAATGGGTGGAACTAGACGAAACCATCCTCAGTGAGGTAACCCAGTCACAGAAAGACAAACATGGTATGTACTCACTCATATATGGATATTAAACATAGAGAAAAGGATTACCAGCCTACAATCCACACCTCCAGAGAGCTAGGAAACAAGGAGGACCATAAGAGAGACATGCATGGTCCCCCAGTGAAGCAGAAAGAGACAAGAGCTCCTGAAAAAATTGGGAGCATTAGGGGAGGGGGAGAGAAGTAGGAGAAAGAGGAGGGGAGAAGAGGAGAGGGGAAGAGAACATGAGGGATCAGGAAGATTGAGTGGGGGGATGAATAGGAGGAGAGCAAGAAAAGAGACATCAATAGAGGGAGCCACTATATGTTTAAAGAGAAATCTGGAACCAGGGAATTCTGCAGAGATCCACAAGGATGACCCCAACTAGGAAGCTAAGCAATAATGGAGAGGCTACCTTAAATGCCCTTCCCCTATAATGAGACTGATGACTACCTTATATACCCATCCTAGAGCCTTCATCCTGTAGCTGAGGAAGCAGAAGCAGAGATCCACAGCTAAGCACTGAGCCAAACTCCTGGAATCCAGTTTCAGAGAGGGTGGAGTAGTGACAAACAAAGAGGTCAAGACCACACTGGGAAAACCCACAGAAACAGCTGACCTGAGCAAGTGGGAACTCATGGACCCCAGTCTGACTGCTGGGGAAACAACATAGGACCAAACCAGGCCCCTTGAACATAGGTGTTAGCTAGAAGCACTGGGACCTCTGGCAGTGGAACCAGGATGTATCCCTAGTGCACAAACAGACTTCAGGAGCCCATTTCCCATGGAGGGATACTCCCTTAGGGCCTAGACCCTGCCCCAAATGACTTGACAAATTTTGATGATCTCCTGGGGAGTAGATGGGGGATGGGATGAGGTGGTTGGTGGGCAGCATAGGAGGATGGAGAGAGAGGGAACTGGGACTCATATGTAAAATAAGATTGTTTCTAATTTAAATAAATTTTATATATATAAAAAAACAACAGAAAACAAATCCCCAGTACTCATGGAAAGACCTGGTTATAGACAGCATGTGCCATTTGGGGTGGAAATGCTAGTCTAATGACTCTCTAGGTCTAGTGAGAGACCCTCTCTCAAAGGGCAGAGAATGACACTGACATCCTCCTCTGGCCACCATCAGCACACACTCATGAAATTACATATACCACACAAAGACACATTTCTTGGTGAAGTGTTTCAACTGGTGGTATCACATCGCCTCTCAAAAGCTTTAAATTTTGGATTTTGGGATTACAGTTGTTCAGCCTATCTGAACTGCTAGCTAGTTTTACCAACTTGACACAAGCTAAAGTCATCTGAGAGGAAGCAACCTCAACTGAAAAAACATCTCGAGATCGGGCTGTAGGCAAGCCTGAAGAGCATTTTCTTAGTGATTGATGTAGGAGGACACAGCCCATAGTGGGTGGAGCCATCCCTGGGCTGGTGGTCCTGGGTTCAATAAGAAAACAGACTGAACAAGCCATAAGAAGCAAGCCAGTAAGCAGCACTCCTCCATGCCCTCTGCATCAGCTCCTGCCCCCAGGTTCCTGCTCTGTTTGAGTTTCCGCCCTGACTTCCCTCAATGATGAACAGGGATGTGGAAGGGTAAGCCCAATAAACTATTTCCTCCCCAACTTCGCTTTTGGCCATAGTGTTTCATCACAGCAATAGAAACTCTAAGATAGCCCATGTGTTATATTGGACATAACTTAATCTCTTTAATGGGTGCTTTTGGGCTTATGTTTTGCTTGGTCTTGGCTCTCTGTAGCCCAGGCTAGCTTTGAACTCTCAATTATTCTTCTGCTTCAGCTTTCAAAGTGTTTGGACTACAATTATGCATGACTATGTTCACGTCTCTTTAGGCATACTTTTTACATTTATTTATGTGCGTGTGTGTGTGCATGTGTATATGTACATAAGCC